CACAGACATGTTTTTTCCTGTCCTCCTAGGAAAGTGACCTCTCCTTCTTTCTGATTACAAAAGAAAATAGCATTGTTGAAAATCTGGAAAATACAAAAAACTTCAAGAACAGAATTTTTAAAAAGTGCTGCTTCTTACTAACCCAGCGCAAGATCTGTATATCTCAATGGTTTATATACATGCACATCCCTGTATATACAGTCTGGTCAATCTGTGTTATTTGCAGATCCCGTGTTTGGGAACTTGCCTGCTTGCTAAAATCTATTTCTAATCCAACATCGGTACTCGTAGCGATTTCACCCTCGCTTGTGGGCACAGGCATGTGCGTAGCAGCAAAAAATTTGCGTCCAGTGTGCACGTTCCCAGCTGACATTGTGTAAGGTGACACTCTGCCTTCCTCTTGCGCGCTTATGATCCAAACAAGTGTCTTTGCCATGCTCTCTCTTCGAGCCACTTTTTTATTTACATTTTTGTGCTCTTCGTTGGTCATTTTACTGTTTAAAATGGCCCCCAAATGAGGCACTGACATGCTGTCTGTTCCAAAGCTCAGGAGGGCTGGGCTGAGCGTTAGGTAAGCTTCATTCAGGTGTGAGTTGCAGTACCACTGGCCAAGAGTTCAATGGTGATGAATTAATATACTTTAAGTTTTCTTTAAATAGAAATACACAAGGGTATGTATTGATTGGTTGATGAAAATGTGACCAGAAGCTCATAGGAACCTAACCTCCTATTTCCCCTAGAAGCAGCGGTCCAGTATCTGCTAAATCAGTGTTCATGCTGACTTTATAGAACATAACTATGACACACACTCGTACTTAGATACAATGTATATATATATATTTTTTTTTAGTTTGAGATTACATTGTATTGGCCTGTCGTTTCTACCTACCATAGTGCCTGAACTTCCCCCTATACATCATAGAATTCTAGTAGTTCCACAAAACTCCTCTTCACGCCCAAAGGGGAATTCACAGGAAGGCCCAGGCCCTTGCTGTGCGTCATAGAAGCCATGGGCGGGTGGGCGGGCCCTGGAAGCGGGAACTGGAGGGCTTGCAGGAGCCACGCAGGGCTCTCCTTGCCTCACTGCAGGCCACATGTCTGTCGCAGAGTGCGGAGGTGGCTCGGCTGCAGCCATCCCCCCGGATGGAGCCAGCACACTCAGGGCTGAATCCGGATTCCTGAGACAGAACTGATTGGCCTTGCGTGGACCAGGCAGCCGTCCCCGGGCCAGGCACTGTGGCCATGGGACAGGCAGGGCTGGTGGCGCTTCTGAAGTAGGGGGGTAGTCCATGATGGACTCTCGGCATCTGCCAGGGGGCTTTTTTTTTTCCTTTTCTATCTTGTTAAAGCAGTGTAAATTGAATAAAGTGGCTTCTGGGGGCGCAAGGACAGACGTCACGGTGGCCTAGGCCACAGGACACTTAACAAACACCACGTATGAGTGGGTGGGGTTCTCTGTCTTCTCTCTGGCCCCTCCCAGCAAGGTCGGACTGACCTGGGATTCTCAGGGACAGTCCTCAACCCTCGGCAGAGCGTCCAGGGCAGGCGAAGTCTTGGCACCAAGCAGGCTCACGCTTGTGTGGTAACCTGGCATCTGGACCAGACACAGAGCTCCCCTCCCCTCAGGCTGAGGCCCAAGGGTGAAGGTGGGAGCTGAGAAGGCCTCCCACAAACCCATGGGGAGGGGACAGGGCACTGGTCCATCCGGCAGCCCGAGAACCTGTGTTCCAGGCTCAGGGGGCCTGGGCCTGCATACCCAGCACCGTGGGGGGCAGTCCCTCTGCACCCCCATGGGGCTCGGAGAAGACAGTGCAGGAGGCGGGGCCATGGGGACAGGCGGTGGCTGCGGGAGGCTCACTGTGGAGGCAGTGAGCAGAGACGAGGTCCCCCTCAGCTGTAAGCGCCTGTGTTCCGCTCACGCGGTGGTGGTGATGGCGGCTTCTCTTTATGGAGCACTTACTGTGTCAGACACCGTGCTCAGCCCTATCCGTGCGTGTTCTCACTTAACGGTCACCCCACCTCTGAGGTTAGAACCATGACATTCCTTGTGTTTTATGGAGAAGGAAGCTGTGTTACAAAGAGGTTCGGCTGCAAGCAAGTGGAGATGGAAGCAGAGCCCAGGCCATCTTAGACCCTGAGCTGCACAGCCTCCTGGCAGCCACCAAACCAGGCAGGAGCCAGCGCAGGGGCACGGTGCCCTGGTGTGGCCAGGCCGGCGAGGGTCAAGGTAACCTGGGCCATGTCCTCTGCTCTTTGTAACTTGTGGCCCCGGGCAGGTCCCTGCCCTGCTGAACCTCCATCGGTCACTGTCTTGGCCGGGCCTGCAGGTTTGTGGGGACCTGGGAGAAACCAAGGCCCAGCCGTCCGCCCGCTCCTCCCCGGACACCCTGGTGTGGCTCCACCGCACCCCACAGCCGGCCCCTTGCCACCACGTCTCCTCAAGGACTTAGAGGAAGTGAAGAAACCCAGGACTTCTGGCCCTGGTGACACTGGGCTCTGTGGGAACCGGGAGGCCCGGACTTTGTAAATGACGCAGACCCTGTGCTGAGGTTGTGTAAGAAGTGATTTCAACGCTGCCCGGCTCCTGATCAGAGCCCCTGGTAGGGGAACAGAGGGACAGGCTCTGGGGCCCCCAGACACCAGTGTGGGCTCCGTGCTTCCTTCTTCCCAGAGAGAGGAAGCCCCAGCTGCTCCCTGCAACCTGCTGCTTGGGGAGGGGGTGGGGCAGGGGGTTCTGGGGAAACAGGGTGGGGCCAGAGAGGACAGAAAAGAGGGTGGGCCGACCTGAGGGGTCCCGCTGGGCTCCCTTCCTGCAGACCTCAGACCTCCCGGCGAGGAGGGCCTGGGGCCTGGGTTTCTTCCCCACGTGTTCACAAAGCTCTGAGACGTTGTCTGAAAGCCAGGGTTGCTTGGACAAGGAACAGAAAGTAACTCAAAGTGGCTTAAACACGAAAGGAGAGCTTTGGGCTTGTGTTGTGATGACGTCACGGGACTCCACCCCTCTGTCCCCCTACTCTGCCTGCACCTGCGTTCAGGTGCTTCCCGCAAGGTAACTCCTCCCACGGCCACGGCAGTGGGCGCGGGGCCCTCCCCTGGCCAGGCCACCCCGAGTCCCAGATTAGGGTCTCGCCGGCCCAGGGGCGTGCAGCACTCTGCTTGGCCAGCCCTGGGACACGTGCCCCCTCCCTCTCCCGAAGACGACTGGGGGGTGGGGGGCAGGGATGATCCTCCAAAGAAACCGGGTGCTCTTACCAAAAGAAGGACGGGGGGGAGGGGGGTGCCAGGGGAGCCGTAACATCAGACAGCTGCCCTGAGGGCGAGTGTGGCAGGCCTTGGGCAAGGCCCTGTGTGCTTTGGTCATTGCAGTGAACCCTCCGGGGAGGTCACTGTCCCCATGTTAGAGAGAGGGGCACTGCATCCAGAGAGGCCAGTGCCCTGTGAGCCTTGCCCAGCGGCAGAGCTGGCTTGGGAACCCAGGGCGTCTGCTCTTCTTCACCGGCCCCCAAACCCTGGGCAGAGCCAAGCCCGTGCTGGGGCAGTTCCCATCAAAAAACTAGGCCTGCCCCTACACACGCAGGCATTGTGTTCAGGGGTCGATTCCAATAATCAATTAGACCTGCCACAGAGTCCTTGTACTGTACGTACAGCACTTTAAAAATTGTAAACAAGTGATCAAGAATTGTGTAAGCAGAATGTTTTTCCCATTTATGGGTGTAGGCTTTTTGTGGGTTTTAGGACAAAATAAATTCTTTGCTGATCTTTTCCTTGTTTTTTCTTCTTGTTTTTCCTTTTTTATCTGTGTTGGCATTGTTCTTGACAAATGGTCATCCAAAGTTTGCTTAAACATCCCCCAGGGATGGGGACCTTTAGTATGTTGTTTTTTGGGCCTTTTTCTTGAGAGTTGCAACAAAAGTCCCAGGGCTGACTCTTGCTGGCTCTGATTGGCCCAGCGCAGGTCATGTGCTCGCCCTTCAGCTCCTGGCGATGGCTAAGGAATGGCACCCACCTCTGTATCTAAGGAACTGTGCTGAGATGGAGAGGGAGGCTCCCGGGAGAAAGTTGAAGTGCTCTGGTTGGAAGAAAGGTTAATCCATATTCTCCACGTGCTGTTTATCTTCACTCGTGTGTTTCCTTCCTGCTCACCCTCGTCTTGTGGAGCACAGGTGCTGGCCCCTGTACCCCCATGTGCACCCCCATGGGCTCTATCAGCACTGAGCCGTTCATATACGAACAGCATTTGTCTGCTTCCAGAGAGCTTTCACATATGTACAGGGTGGGGTAAGGTTAAATTTACAGTTGTTCATATGGAAAATAATACAGTGCTTAATAAACATACAAGCATAAACTGTTTTGCATATAGGTCTAAGCCTGCTTTGGCCCCGCCCCTATACTGAATTGTGAGAACTGCCCTGTAACAACCAATAATTGTGCGAGCCAGGAGTGGCAGGCGGTGTGCTGACCGCAGCCTTTGAGTGTGCAGGTGGCGTCCACGGCCACAGAGGCCCCGCCTTGGTGCCTCCGACCCTGCTGCTGCCAGCTGAGTTTGCCCGACTTTGTCGGCAGTGTCTTACTTGCGGTGCGAGTCCAACCTGTCACAAAGGTTGGAACGTGGCCCTGTGGCTTATAAAGCGGTCCCCCCTCTTGAATCGCATCAGGTCCTCGCACTATCATGCTAAGCAGGTGCTGGTGGCCCAGTTCACGGGGGGAGAAACTGGCATTCGGAGGGAGAGAATGGCTTGGCCCGGACCCTAATGGGGAGAAAGCGTGTGATGGCTTAGCTTCTGTGAAACGTAACCGGGCAGAGAGCTGCTGGTCCCTGGGACAAAAGTCAAGGTTTTAAGAATGACTGGCAAAATGGCCAGGTCCCTGGCTCTGAACTGTGGGGAGCAAGAGACCCTTACACAGCCAAAAATGGCAGCACCTCCTGGGATGAGCAGGGTGCCAACTCTCTCCCATGATTCATATCCTTTAACCCTTTAAACAGCCCTCAGACGGGGAGGTAACCATGCACATTTTATTGAGGAGGAAGCTGAGGCTCGGAGAGAACAAGCGCCGCATTCCAAGTCATGCGGCCAGTCGGCGGCAGCGCCGAGATTCAAGCCCTGGTCCTTCTGACTCTGAACCTCGTGCTTTGCTCCCGAGTCTCAGAGATGCGAAGGGCTCCCTTGGTGTTGATGCCTGTGTCCTCTGTCCCTCTCTGCAGGTCTACATCATCCGGGTCACGTGGTCCAGCGGCTCCACGGAGGCCATCTACCGGCGCTACAGCAAGTTCTTTGACCTCCAGGTAAGGCCTCTGGGCCTCCAGTGAGCTGCGGGTGGGAAAGACTTCAATTGGACTGACTTCCCATTTTGACGTCGGAGCCCGGACCCTTCCCTGAGTGGACGGACAGTGTTCTTTATTTCCTAGCATTAAAAATGACGTCCATGGGCTCACTCCAGCAGCACCTGTACTAAAATTGGAACAATATAGAAAAGATTAGCGTGGCCCAAGGATGACACGTAAATTTGTGGGGCATTCAACTTTTTTTTTTTTTTAAATGCCCATTCCTTCTGGGATGTGAGTAATGCGCTTTCTCACCTTACGTGTTGATAGTCAGTCTTTCCCAAATAAAAGAAAGGCTGCCTGTCCATGCTCCGGAGTAGGGCCAGGTTGGAAGTCTGTATGGCTTTGGAGTGCAGACCTTGAGCTTGTGTTTTATTCAGGGACACAGACGTGTCCCGTCATGTTTGGTGAGTGAATGAACGAGCAAATGAATGAACTAGCAACCGTGAGCGCCACCGGTCTCATAGGGCGCCCAGCAAGTGTGGACAGCTCAGTGCTAGCCCACCCCCGTGCGGGGAAAAGGACTGTAATCTGTGGGGCAACAGCTATGTCTTGATGTCACCAAAGGGCAGCAGCTCAAAGCAAGTGTATCTGCTTGAGAACTCACAGTGCTCAACGTGACATGAAAAAGTTCTCTAGAAAACAGAGGCTGAGGAGGAGATAGGAACTCACCCGGCTTCCTGAACCACTGGGCCCTCCCTGCTGCGTTGCCAGGGACTCGCCCTGAGCTGACCGCCTTCCTCTCCTCTCTGTGCCAGCTGCCAGCGACAGAAACTCAGCCCAAACTGGCTGAAGTAAATGGAGATTTTTTTTGGCTGGCGTAACCGAATGTCCCAGGAGGAGACACCTTCAGACACAGCTTGTCCCGGGAGTTTCACTGCGTCCTTTCCCCCACCTCCTTCCTCTCGTCCTGCATTCCTGCTTCCATGGTGCTGCTTCATCCTCAGATCCCACACGCTTGCAAAACGCGCTAGGCAGACACATGCAGCAGGAAGGAGTGAAGGGTCACTTCCCAAACAGTCCAGCAAGCGCGGGGCTCTGGTTCGTAGGCTCATCTCTAAGCCTGTCGAGGTGATTGAGGAGTGCAGTGGCCAGTGGGCTTATCTGGGTCCCTGCTTTGGCCCTGGAGTTGGGAGCGGAGATCAAGTCCTGGAGAGAACAGCTGGGGTCAGAGGTGAAGGAGGCGTTGCTGGGCCGTCAGAGGACAGCCGGCCCCCCACACACCAGCCTGCTTCCTGGCCTCACCCGTGCTCCCGGAAGGTTGGGTGACATTAACCACAGGGCCGAATCTGTTCCTGAAACCGTCCAACAGGATTTTCCGAGCCTGTGTTCCAAGCCGTTGTTTCCAAGGGGCGGGGAGATAACAAAGTGCTCCTAAGCGGTTGCCACTGAAACAATCGCCAGCGCCTACCTGACTGCCAAGAGTCGCTGCGAAATGTGAAGGGAGGCACCAAGTACCTGAGTTTTAACAGCGTCTGGTGGTGGTCTGTGTTTACTATGTGACAGAATCACACAGGATCCGATTGAAATTATGTTGTTCTTCTGATCTGCAGCAAACATGTACTTAATGTAGATACCTAACAAGTCTGTATGTGAAAGGCTAGGCGTCCACCTAAGCTGGGCTTGGCAGCATCAGACACAGGGCAGGGAAGGCCTGAGCCCTGGGGGAAAGGGGCGCAGCCCACACGGCAATGCCGGTGGCAGGAGCGGGAGGCATGGGCCTGCCTAGGAATGACTGAGACCCGCCCCTCTGACCCAGACCCATGGGCATGTGTGCGGATCCACTGTGGCGGGCCTCCCGTTCACAGTGCAGGCTGGGTAAACGTTTTGCACGTTGCTAGAGTGACTTTTTGTGCCTTTTTGCATAGGCGAGCCGCCTGTATGTTGCTTTCAGAGGCCTCTTGCCTGTGTGACACCTCCAAGAAAGGACGCAGGGGGCTGAGAGCAGTGACAGGCATGACTGCTCTCTTAGGGATTAGTGACACCGCAGAGCACACGCCCACTCAGCTGCTCAGGCCGGAAGAGAGGGGCAAGGCGGATTGCTGGGAAGAGGCAGGTGGGCCCCAGGGAACCCAGCAGGAAACGCAGCTGCCCTGCGGAGGCCCCGCAGCTCCCTGGCCGGTGTCGCCGTGGCCAGAGGATCTGCCGTCCAGCCTGCTTCCTTTTCCCAAGCACCTCTCTAGACCAGCTTCCTCCACTTGTCTGTTGGCCCACATCCCCCAGACAGCGCCTTCCGTCCCCAAGTGGAAGGGTCCTTCCCTGTGGTCAATGCCCTGGAGTCTCTGGGTGCCGAGTCCCGTGTCCAGGACTGAGAAGCGGATTTTCCTGAGTCAGGGTCTACCCCAAGCCTGTCGGCTGTGGCTAGAGACGTGGGGTCGTTGGGACAGCGTGCGCTGAGGGGGTAGGCTGGAGGAGGGGACATGGGGAGGCTGCTCTGGGGAGCCTGCAGGGAAGCGGCAGAGTGTGAGGAACGTCACTGTGCCCCACATTCCAGGAGATCCCAGGGCCCCTTGTCTTGACCGCGGGGACCAGGCAGGCCTGGGTTCAAATCTCAGCTTTTTGCTTCTAAGTTTCAGCTTGGTGTTGCGTCTGAGCCTCAGCCTCTCTATCTGCATACTGAGGATGAAAGCACTGTCCTCGTGCATCTGGTATGACAGAGCTGTACCTTGCTCAGGAAGTGTGTCAGCAGTCATCTGCTGTCCCTCTGCTCAGATGGGACTTGCCTGGAGTGACATTGTCTGGGAATGCTTGCCGAGGGAGGGTCACAAGGCAGGATCTGCACGGCCCAAAGCCTGTGCTCCTTGCGCTCTCCTGTTCTGACTCAGCTTTCTAATTCCCACCAGAGCTTAGAAGTGAGGTTTGCTGGCCCGCTCAGCATCACTGGTAATAATTGCAGGGTTGCCATAACGTAAATAGCTGCCGCGGGCTGCCCTGCTGAAACAGAGTCATCCAAAGACAGGACTTCGGCCACCTTTAAAAAGTCCCAGATGGGTGGCCAGAGCGGGAAGGCCGTGGAATTCCAGAGGGGTCCTGCTGTCCTGGAACTGGCCGGCCTTCCGCCCCCGCAGCCCCGAGGGCCCAGCTGGAAGGAGTGAGGGCAGGGCCCAGAGTCAGCTGTTCCCGAGGCCCAGGCGTGGCCGAGGCCAGCCTGTGTGGGGCTGCAGCACCCTAGAGCTAGATGATTTCATGATCCCAGCCTCCCCTCCCCTCCTGTCTGGCGAATAGCCATGGTTTTTGCAGAAGGAACTTGGCTTCAGGAGTCTGGGGAGGGCCAGGCTTTCGCGGAGGAACAGCTAAGCCAGCGTGGTGTAATGGAAAAAGTCAGGAGACTTGGGGCCCAGCCACCAACCCTCTGTGCCTGGCCGTCCTCATCCATGGCATGGGACGATGGTACTAGAAAGAGCGGGCATTCCTGCAGCTCAGCATTGAGATGCAGCGACCCATTTAGTCCTCAAATTGACCTTCGCAACTCATACAGATGAAGCCACCCAGGCGCAGAGGAGCTAAGCGGACAGCCCTCGGTCACACAGCCCCTGAGCGTCAGAACCTGGCTTTGAATCGGGGCAGCTCCGGAGCCCGGAGTCTCAGCCAGGCTGCCGGCCGGCAGTCCTCTCCCTCGCGGCGAAGGCTCCTATGGAGTTAAAAGTGATGATGTCTGTTGGGCAGAGGCAAACCCACAGAGACAGAGAGCAGACTCGTGGTTGCCAGGAGCTGGCGGTGGGGGGGTGGGGGAGGGCGGGGTGTAGGAGAGGCTAATAAGTACTGGGTATCTCTTTGCGGTGACAAAAATGTTCTGGAATTCGATGGTGGGGGTGGTTGCACAACCTTGTAAATATACTAAAAACCACTGAATTGTACACTTTTAAAGGGTGAATTTTATGGCATGTGAAGTATATCTGAATTTCATGGGGGGGGGTTGTTTTGTTTGTTTGTTTTGTTTGTTTTTTTGAAGCGGCGATGTGCACGAGAGCGGTCTCTGGGCCGTCGAGCCCGGAGCAAATGTCCGCTGTTGGGAGTGTCGGGAGTTGGCCTTGTTTGGAGCAGGAGATGATGCCAGTTGAACAGAGTGGGTAGGATCCTGGGCGTCGATCCCAGCGCTGCCACTTTCTGGCCGTGAGATCGTGTTTTAGTGAGAACTGTTTTAGCTGCAGAGGACAAAAACCCAGGCAAGATGGGTTCTTCCAAAAGAGCATTGGTTGGCTGACTGCAACTGAGAAGACGAAGGGCACTCGGCTTCAGGTGTGGCTGGGCCGAGGGGCCACAGTGGCAGTAGGACCTGTTTTTCTCCACTTGACTTTCTTCGCGTCCAGGCAGGTGTTGTCTGGTATGAGGGCAGCCCGAGGTCCAAGCTGTGTCCAGCAGGTCCGCTCAGCGAGTTCAGGGAAAGGGGGAGCCTGGCTGGGATTTGAGCCCAGATGAGGCCGAGTCTGAACCCTACACCCTGCTGCCTCCTCGGGGTCCAGTCCTGCCTTCAAATCCGTCTTTCCAAAGATACATCTGCCTCCTGGAGTTCTGCCCTTTGAAGGTGTCCCTGTACAGCGGGGGCAGCCTACCCTGCAGAGGGCGGCTCTGAGCGGGACTCGATCCCTTCGCAAACGGGCCTCAGGTGTCCGAGGGGTCCGCTTTGCCCTGCGCCACGTGACCTTTGCCCTCTGAGTTTTCCGTTGGTTCTTTGTGTTCCCCGGGCCGAGGGTCACAATTGTCACTGAAACCAGGGCTTCCATGAGGGAAGCACAGCTTCACATTTGCTGAGCTGGACCCCAGGTGTTTAGAAAGGGACTTCCGTCCCAGCCAGGGAGCTCAGGCAGGGCTTGCTTCCTGGAGGAGGTGACATTTGAGCAGGGTCTTGACAATGAGTAAGGCGTTGACCCGCTGGTTAGGATGGGGGAGGGCCTTCCGCATAGAGGAACCCAAGTGTGTGAAGGCGCAGAGCCGGGAGCGAGCAGGACTGTGAGCCGGCG